TTATTTAGCACACAGACAGCAACATGAAAAAAATGTATCAACATAAAAGAGTATAGACGGTCTGCGACTTACAGTGGTTCAGCTAGGTTTTTTGACTTTGCGATAGTGTGAAACTGTTGCAATTTTGATGTACTTCAGATTTTGAATTTTGATCTTTTTCTGGGCTAGCTATATGCAGTATGTGAGATATTCAACACTTTCTTATAAAATAGGCTTTGTGTTAGCTTATTTTGCCCACTAGTAGACCAATGTAAGTGTTTTCAGCACATTTAAGGTGGGCTAGGCTAAGCTCTGATGTTCAGTAGGTAGGTGCATTAAATGCATTTTCCACTTAAGATATTTTCAACTTACAAAAGGTTTATTGGGATGTAACTTGGTTGTGAGTTGAGGACCATCTGTATTATAAAATAACTTTATCATATCTTTGTATTTTCAATTTTACTTTGCCTGTTGTTTATTTCTCCTTCCTTACCACCTCCTTTCCTCACCCATTGCACTGGGACTTTGCATTTGCTGGCATCTCTTGCTCAACTCTGTATTTGCAATTATTCTGTGTCATTTTGTCTTAGGCATATACCTTATAACCAGCATTTGTCCAGATTTTGCTTTTTCAGCCAGTCTGAGAAAGATTTGGCCTTATTTCTATTTTTGTATTTATATATTGAACTTTGAAAATACAGTTGACCCTTGAACAACACAGATTTGAACTGTGCAAGTCCATTTTTACGTGGATATTTTTCCGCCTCTATCGCCCGAGACAGCAAAACCAACCCCTCCTATTTAGCCTACTTAATGTGAAGATGATGAGAATGAAGACCTTATTAACAATCTGCTTCAGTTTAATCAATAGCAAATATATTTTCTCTTATGATTTTAATAGCATTTTCTTTTCTCTAGCTTACTTTAGGAATACAGTATATGATACATGAAATATACAAAATATGTATTAATTGACTGTTTATATTATTGGTAAAGCTTCCAATCAAAGGTAGGCTATTAGTAGTTAAGGTTTTGGGGAGTCAAAAGTTATACTTGCATTCTTTGACTGTGTAGGCGGTTGACGCCCCTAACCCTCATGTTGTTCAAGGGCTAACTGTATAGACTTTTATTTTGCTGTCTTTTGCAATGATGGTCAAGTTTCATCTATTCTACAGTACTCTGTATATAATCTCTGTTGGATTCCATTTGCTTCCAGTAATTTGATTGATTGAATGATTGATACATTCAGCCTTCTTTAAAAGTGAAGTACCTTTAACACATATTCAGCCTCCAATCCCACCCTTCCCCAACTCCTCTTTTGTGCTTCTGCCAGTGTGACAGTCATGGTCTTAAAATGCAAATCTGGTCATGCCATTTACTCAGGTAAAATATGTCCGTGGCTCTTGGTCACATAAAGAATATATTTCCAACTTCTTGGCAAGACAGTCAAGATTGTTTACCTTTATTTCCCATCTTCTACCATTCTCTCTCCCATCTTCCTCTCTGTTTTCCAGCCACGAAAGTTTCCTCTTTCTAGTGCCTCAAGTGGTTAGGGTATAATTATATCTTTATATGGGATTATAGCATACACACTTCCCTCCCCACCAGAATTTATTTTAAATTGTGGTTTTATTGCATTACCTCCAATCCTTAATTCACGAAGTATACCGAAATTGTTAAATTTTCCATTCTTCCTTTCTCTTTCTTATTTTTCTTTACCATAAAACAGACTGAATTGGTTGGAAAACATTCAGTCTTTCATATCTACAGATTCTGCAGCCTCAGATTTAACCGAGACTGAAAATACTTGGAGAAATAAAAGATAAAAACACAATACAAATGATAAATTTTGAAAATGACAGAATCTAAGCTATTTGCATAGCATTGACATTGTATTAGGTATTATAAACAACCTACAGATGACATAAGATAAGCAGGGGATGTGCACAGGTCATATGCACATACAATGCCATATTCTATAAGGGACTTGATCATCCCAGATTTTGGTATCCATAGGCTCCTGGAACCAATCCCCCATGAATCTTGAGGGATTGATTGCATATCATTTAGTTAAGCTATGCTAAAGGTCCCACCCTCAAACCACCATGGATAACAGAGGAAGGGAAGGAAAGTGAAGGAACAGGGAAGGGGCTTTCCTTTTTGAGCATTGACAGTTTTCAGCCACCTCATGTATCCTCACAAGTAGTAACATTTCCATTATATAAATGAGCAACAAGTACACAGTGGTTAAATGACTTGCCTCAAATTATCTTTCTGTTTGGAGAAGTCCACCAAATGCATACTCTCTCATTGTTTCATCTCATTATCATTTCGTAAACTCTTCTGTTCCTCCTCTCTTCCTGATTTTTGCTCACAGCCCTCTTACCTATTCCAGGAGCTCAGGAGTCCTCTGCTTTCTCCTCTCTCTCTCTCACCCCGTGCTAATGAGGTCTCTGAATAAGGGAGCTTCCAGCTCATTCTACCTCTTTAATAACTTTACCCTCCTCCCCATTTCTATTGCTACTGGCTCGAATAATGCTGGCTTGGGAATATTTCAAAAATCTCCTAATATTTCTCCTTCCAATTTTCTCCCACTTCAAGCTTGCCCACATGGCTGTTTTGTATCTGTGATATTTCTGAATGGCAAATCTGACAACCTCACACCCTTCATGCACTCTCTTTTGCCCTCAAGTAAGCATCCTTGCCAACTCTGTCAGGATTTTCATGATTTGTGCTTTTCTTCCTCTGCTGTGTTATCACCCTTTGCTCTCCCATAAGCCTCCTGCACAGCAGTCACACGGAATGACCTACAGATTCTTGAGCTGTCCCAGATCAGCCTGCCTCCATGCTTTGTTCACACTCATTGCTCTACTTAGAAGGTTTCTCTCTTACATGGTGAACATCCCTCTTTCGAGATCTTACTGAAGTTTCTACTCCTCTCTTGCTTTTCCTTACACCATTTTTGAAAGTGTGGTCACAGCCTCCTTTCTACTATTCTACCTTGTACATATTTATATAATGCTACTCACCACACTGTGCTGCAAATTTTCAGTTTTTTATTTGACTAAGCTTGCTTGTCATTCTCCTGATTCGATGAATTTTGTTCTCATTTTTACAAATGTTAACTTTACATATTTTGTTCTTGTTGAGTTCCTAAGGTTTATCTCTAAGCACACTTTTGATTATTAAATGAATATTTCATTTCCCCTTAAAGTGAAAGGTTAGTGTTAACCGTATTTTCATAACTAAAACAAAATGGATGAAAGGTATACATGTCATTGGGGACACCCATTGCTTTGTTCATTGTAAAAGTAGGTGGACAAGACATGCTGTAGTTGATAACCGAAGGATGGCTTAAATAGACTTGCAAATATACTCAGGAAACATTCAGCCTTGCACTTTTTCTTTTGCAATACTATTAGCTTTCTCTGCCCTTAAATGTTGTCACAGAGGTTTGAGAGACCAATTAATTCGCCTTCCTCCTATGTGTTCTGAACATGATAGAAATTTAAATATCAGCAGATTCAAAGTAATCTGTTTTATTTTGAGTAAGGTGAATGCGAGAATGCAACTTGGACTTCATGACAACATCAGGGTCTTCCTACTTTACTTCTGCCTTGCATTTGGCTGAGTTGCCCAGGCTTAGGAAACTGCAGGCAACAGGAGATGAGTTGGAGGCGGTAGGCTCAGTGCATGGGAACAAAGCCTTGGGAAGCCTAGAGAGAACGTGAGGTGGCCAAATATGGGCAATGATCCTTCCCCACATGGTCACAAAATGAAGGGAAACAGATGGTAGGCTCTACAGATCTCACAGGTTCAAGGAAGGAGGGTCTAGGGAGGAGCAGGAGAACGCTCTCTTTCATAGTACTGAAACGGTTTTTTTTTTTTTTTTTTTTTTTTTTTTTCTATTAAATGCACTAGAGCAGGAGTGCCAGAAGAGGAGAGTTGCTGATCTTCCCAGCCAAGGTCACAGGACAGATACATTTCTTAAACCCAGAGACTCGGGACCTCAGAGATCCTAGTCCAGAAAGTTCCCTTTTTCATGGATTGGATCTTGCAACCCATAAGTAAAATATAATATGACTTTGTTTGCTTTCTTTGACCTAACTCTTACGGTTTTACTATGATGATGGGTAGATCAATAACTGCTCCTGACATCAAGTACACGTTAATAACATCAAAGCTTAATGATAAAGGAATTGGCAGCTTGACACGCATGTGTGAGCGCTCTGATGGGAAGCAGGAGCCCCTGTGAATGGCTTTGGTTTGCAAAGGACTTTTTTCCTGAAATGCATGCAGTGCTCTGGACCATGCCATCTCAACCCAGCTCAATCTGTAATTGCATATCCTGATGACAGTAAAGAGCAATGCCCTGGATGCTTCCACAGCTTATGCTGTGAGACCAGAGTGACTTGTGCTGCACCACACTTAATACTGCATGCTTGGACTCTTCTGACATCCCTCCCAGTGCTGGGAGTTTATAATCCTGATAATGCCTCCAGTGGAAATGACCTAAGAAACATCCTTTGCTGGGCTCTGACCCATAATTTATTAATTCACAGTTGGATTTATTTAGTTCTGGCTTAATTTATTTCAGATCTGTGAGTCTGCATTCTTTTCATTGCTAAATGTCCTCCTTCAAAGTTGTGATGTGTTTAATTTAACTCGTTCTATAAAGTACATTATGGTAAGATAGAAAAAAGAAAAGAGAAAGTCATGGTCAAGAGGCAACAATGTAAAAGGAATAGATATTTTCATATAGTGGATCTGATTTTCTCAGTGAGTCGAGATGGTCTTCTTAGAAGTAACATTCTTCACTGATGTTCAGAGCCTATGGTGACCTAGCAATGGTGGAGGGTTTCCAAAAGCAGTGTTTTTCAAACCCATGTATACACACATCACCTAATTTAGCAGGTCTGGGGTGGAGTTGAAAAGCTGGCATCTCCAACAAGCTCCCAGGTGATGCTGATGACTGATTACCAGGAACCTAAGTTACTAAATCAAAACACTAGCTCCCCAAATCATCACAATCCATTTTATTCCACAGCATGTTTAAGGGAATGTTATTTTCAGGAAGATGTTTGGGATTAAAATAATTAAAAAAAAATTGGAAATACACACATTTATGTATCTCTTCTTTTCATTAAATATATATCTGCTTGGCAAAAAATGTTAGACTCTTTTGTACAAAAACAAAGCAAAAAAAAAAAAAAGAACCCAAAATTCTTGCAAATTGTAAATACCAATAATAATTACAATGATGTAAACTTGGATGTCTGATAGCTTGACCATCCTGTGGAACTCATTTTGCAGCAGGACCTCCCAGGAGAAGGTAACACCAAATCCTTGGATAGCAACAGCCCGTCCTAGAGGCATTTAGGTTTAGTCTATTAGAGATGGAGCGAGACTACTGATTTCACCATTTGTGCTTTCAGCTAAGAGGCTGGGAGCATGAGTGGAAATGAAGAAGGCAGTTCTGGCCTGGGGTAGGGAGAGGAAACTCCAGACTAGCTGGTGAGGAGGGAGGATCTGTTATGGTCACAGTGCAGACGCAAAGTGGGCATGGGACCTGTGAACTGTTTGGGAAACTGATGCTAGGGAGGATCATGAGGAGGCTGCAGCTGAGGCTCTTCGGACCAAAGAGGAACAGAGCAAGGCAAAAGCAGGGAGGGAGGTGGGAGGAGATTTGAGTGCAGATCTCAATTCAAGTGGAACTAGTGGTGCGAGATGATTCTAGAGACGGGAAAGGGGGATGTGGGGTTTGGTCTTCTCGTCAAGTAGCTAGGCCATTTCCTCCAGATGGGGGCCTTGGGGCACTCCCCTTGGTCTGGTGGGCAAGTTTTGGGGCAGTCTGGGGCTGCTGGCTTTACTGTCCTGAGGAAGGAAGGGCATGCCTGCAGGGGGCTAGGATGGAAGGGCCCTTTGGCCTTCTTACCAGCAGTGGGCTTTGCTCTTGTCCCACCAGTGGACTGTAGCCATGGGAAGTGACCTGAAGCAGTGGAGCCGAGGAACAGAATCAGGGCGGTGAGCAAGATGCCAGCTAGGGGCTGAAAGTTGCCAGGGCTAGAGGTGAGGCTCAAGGGAGTGTGGACCCACAGCTTCCCTTTACCAATGGAGGGTTCCAAGGCGTGGGCGTGTTTTCATTCCTCTCTCCTGTTAACTAGGTGTTCCAGTTTTGGAAGGGGCACGTGTGGGCCCGGCCACTTCAGTTACAGTCATAGACGAAGTCATAGTTGCTGGGCTCCTTGGGAATCGGCGGAGGCGCATCAGGGATCTGGATGTTTTCCAGGTCCAGAAGGCGGAGCTTGATTTCCATGCTGAGCAGGGTGTCCAGGTCATTCCGTGTCAGGTCGCTCATCATGTCCTTCCCGAGTAGCGCATTCAGTCCATCTGTCCAGATACAGTACTGGCAGGAAGGGAGGCAACAGCCATCATTACTGGTGACAATTACAGAAGTACTAATAGTAAAAACAGCTAACAGTGAATACTCATCATACAGTGGGCTCTGTGCTAAGTGCTTTGCCTACTTTGTCATTTCATATTCACAACATCACAGTGTAAAGTCGATATTTCTGTTATCATCTCTGTTTTACAGGTGAAGGAACTGAAGTACAGAGAAGTTAAGTGACTCAGTCTTATGGAGACTGGGTGGGATGTGAATCCAAGCAATCTGACTCCAGTGCCTGTGCTCTTCTCTGCGAAGAATGCCTCTCTGTAACGGCTGAGGATTGGAGTTCTCCATGACTTGCAATGTAACATCTCTAACATCCCACCTATATGGGAGTCTATGACTTTGAGGTATTGGTGGAATCTACCCAACAGCCCTGGACTCAACATCAGGTGAAGCTTCGTTGCTGAATCCAGTCATGGTTCCAAGTCTAGTAGCTCATCTCTGCCTGTCCTGACTGATTCCCAGCATGCACAGTGACAGCCCTGTCCCACGCTGGGGCCAATGTAGTCCCTCCTTAGTATTTCTCAGCTAAAGAGCTAGGAAATAGCTTTCTGCTGCCTAGCGTCGGGCAGCCAAAATGGTTGAAATTATTGGGCAATCTTAATGGAAGGAGGGTTGGCTGCCTGTCTGGGGACCGTTTTAGCCTTATCTCCAGTTCCTAAGGTTTCTTTTCACCAGATAACTGAGGCCTGATCCCTGGGGACATTATCTGTTTTGGAAAGCCCTTCAGAGTACCCCACTGAGTCTGATTCTTCTCCTCTCATAGCCTTTTGTCTTCCCAGGAGACTATGATCTCTATGGGGGAGGGAGGAGAAGGAGGAACTGTGGCTTGTTTGTCTGAGGATCTGCTTTGCTCTTGTTAGCTTCCTTCCCAGAGGCTGGATTTCTGTACTGACGTGGAAAGAGAACTGTGACACCTGGTGAAAGAGGCAGTCCAGCTGCCAGCATCTCAGAAAAATGCTTACGTTCTGGATGCTGGGCTCCATGCATCCACTGGAGTCAGGTTTCTAATAGTCCTATATGGGATTCTGTAACAGCAATTGTCCTCCTCTTTTGTTGAACTGGTCTTCCTTCTACCATGTACTCTAGATTCCCTCCTCTTTTTCCTCACTAGGTCCAGTGGCAATTCCAGACACTCCTTAACCTACTTTTGCACTGTAGTTTTCTGGGCTGTATTCCATAGCAGCAGATCTCAAGATAAACGTACCCAAAGTATACTGCAAGCACTATATAAATATCCAGTTACCATGATGTGATGAAAATCTTCCATGATACACATCAGTGGTACCACTTTTTAAGTCGAAGAGGTGCATGATGGGTTCATGTGAGATCTGTGTTTGAGTAGGGCAGCACTGAATTGGAGGACTTTGGTCCTACCTTGGCTATGTGATCTCAGCCAAGGCATTTAACTCATTGAAACATCAATTTAGTGCTAAAGGATTTCTGGAAGAATTAGTGTCCTCATGATCTGATTCAGAACATGTCTAATCATCCATTTTCTCGTAAATAATGCTGACAGAAGTGGACACCTAGCTCTGGCCTTGGAGATCCTGATCATGTAGATCTGGGGTGAGAAGACTTTGCTTCCTAGAAAACTCTGATGAGCATGCAGGTATGCGTGCCACTGAACTCTCCATTCTCAAGGGCCCCTTCCAGCTTTCACGCTGTTTCATGGTAAATCCCCCAGTCCTGGGGATTACTGCTCTTGTGCACAGCCTTCCCAGGCCTGGCTAGCTTCCTAGTATAGATTAACCCACAGGAACATTTTTGCAGTGTTTTTCTTTTGAGAAACAACAGGCACAGAAAACTTTATTTGAAAGTACATCAACCAATAAATAAAAGTACTGATACTATAGTACTGATACTGAATTGGAGTTGAAACTATCACTATCAATTCACTATGTATTTTATCTTAAAAAAAAAAAAACAAAAAACTCCTAGCTGTGTCCCCAAAAAGGCCTAAAAAATAATGACCAACCAAGTTCTGTTGCAGCATGGTGTGCAATGACCATAAGCACACCTTATGCTAGATTCTGGTCACTAGATACTATTTCCCACTACAAGTAATCAGGGCTCCACAGAGAAAAGGCAGGAAACATAAAGATAAACCTGGAGCATCCCACCATACCAGAATGCCAGAAAGTTATCGAAGACATAAGGGGTCTTTCCAATAGGACTCAGATGCCAACCCTATGGTGTTCCCACTTGTTCCAGACAGGATAACCTAGACACTAATTATGACAATAACTGCAACATATTGAGACGCAATTATGTTTAATTGCATGACTTCCTAATGATATTCAATCTCCCAAACACCTCAATGTTATTCTTTGAAAGATGCTTACTATTTTGAAAACTGGTAAAGAGAATCCAGTATTTATCCTGACTACCATATGCAAATTGTGTAACTTTAGGGTAACCAAATAGTTGATGAGGCCAGCTTCTTTTTATATATCCCTTTAATAAATAAAGAAGGAATATTAGAATTAAGATATCAACCATTTGTAACCTTGAATGGATCCAAGGATCCAGGCAATGATCATCAGTGGCTGCTAATATCCAAGAAAGATGAGCAAGAAGTCACTATGAAAGTACAAACACACTGCTGCTGCTTAGAAAGGGAGGCTGAATTTGATTAATCCTTTAACTACAGTTTATAGGACATACAGGGAACGGATGAACACATGAAATTATATTGTAGGTTGTGGGGGGCAAAATAATACCCACCTTCCAAAGACATTCACATCTTACTCTCTGGATCCTGTAAATACATCAGGTTCCATGGAAGAGGGACTTAAGATTGCTATCAGCTGACCTTCAAATAGAGAGGTTATCTTGGATTATCCAGGCAGGCCCAATGTAAAAGTGAGAGAAGGAAGCAGAAGAAGAGTCAGAGTCAGAGAAGTGAGAGATAGAGGGAGATCCGACTACGAAAGAGGAGGCCGGAGTGATGCAATGAAAAGGCTCAACCAGCCACTGCTATGGATAGATGGAGGCCAAGGAGAGCAGGTGGACTCTTGAGTGAAAAAGTCAAGGGAAAATTCTTCCCTAGCACCTCCAGAAAGGAACATAGACAGCCCTACTGACACCTTGATTTTAGCCCAGGATATTTGCATTTGACTTTTGAAGTCCAGAATTGGAAGAAAATAAATGTGTACTATTTAAAACTAAGTTCGTGACAGTTTGTTACGGTAGCAACAGTAAGTTAATACATAGAGTTATAATCAGCACCATCTAGACTATCAACAACACTATAGGTCTAATGGCCTGTTTTTCCCAATAAATAAACTTCAAGGAAAAAATTATACAATTTACAATCACATGCTCATGATTGTGTGAGACAGAGAGACAAAGAGAGACACCTATAGATTCAGAGAAACCTAAAAAGCATGTCAACCAATTGCAATGCATGGATCTTATTTGCATTCTGACTTGAACAAAGTCTAAAAGAAAACAACACACAAATGAGACAGAGAAATTTGAAAACTGACTGCACATGGTTTAATAAATAAATACAACATTATTAATTTATTTAAGTGTGATCAGGGTATTGCGGTTATGTTTTTCTAAATTGAGTATTATTGGGAGATGCATACAGGAATATTTATAAATAAAATGATACCCAGATTTGCTTCATAATAATCAAGGGTGGCAGCTGGGTGATGGTGGAAGAGTGAATGGGAACACAGGTGAACGAGATTGGCCGTGAGTTGGTGATTGCAGAAGCTGAGCGATGGGCCTGCCAGGAATGTGTGAGCTCAGTGCCTTCTTGTTCCCTACCTAGCTCTACAGTGCAGGGGTTAAGTGAGGGGCTTCTGGAGCAGGACTACCAGTGTTTAAATCCCAGCTCCATCTCTTACTACGTGTGTGACTTTGGACAGGTTTCTCAGCCTCTCCTGCCTCATTTCCCTCTTTTATTAAATAGGGATAATAATATGAGTTTGTTTTTTTAGAGCTATCTGAGGGTTAACTGGGGTGAAATATACATATAAAGCATTAATGGTGCCTGGCAGAGAGTAAGCCAGGTTCGTTATACTTACAGTTGACCCTTTAACAACATGGGTTTTAACTGTGTGGGTCACTTATACATGGAATTGTTTTCAATAAAACTTATACCGAGTGTGCCTGTCTCTCCTGCTTGCCCTTTCACCTCTTCCACCTCTCGAGCCTCTGCCATGCCTGACACCTCAAGACCAACCCCTCCTCTTCCTTCTCCTCCTCATCCTACTCAGTGTGAAGGCAATGAGGATGAAGACCTTTATGATGATGCTCCTCCACTTAATGAATAGTAAACATATTTTCTCTTCCTTAGGATTTTCTTAACATTTATTTTCCCTATCTTACTTTATTGTAATAAAGAATACAGTATATAATACACATAAAAAGTAAAGTGTGTGTGAATCAACTGCTTATGCTGTTGGTAAGGCTTCTTTCTGGTAAACAGTAGGTTACTGACAGTTAAGTTTTTGGGGAGTCAAAAGTTATAGGCAGATTTTCAACTGTGGGGGGGTCAGTCCCCATAACCCCCAGGCTGTTTAAGGGCCAGCTGTATTAACCTTTCTATTGTTGATGTATTCAATTCTGAGAGGTCGTTCCCTGCTCATTTGATAAATGACAATGTCTGTAATAGAACTTTTTATTGTATGGAGTAATTATGGAAATAAAATGAGGTAATAGAGAGGAAAGTGGTTTGAAGTAATTAAAAGTGTTCACAAGCATATGGCATTTTTCTCTTCATTGTATCTGCAAGGAGTGGTAGATATGAATAAAAATCTGGCAGTCCCAGAGCATTTATCCTGATCTGGAATTAATGTACACTGGGGAAAACAGCCTCCCATAGATTTAAATAACATCTAAAGTTCTACTATTTTAAGTAGTTTCCTATACAACTCTATACATCTTGAATATGGTGGCCTGTGTAGAACCACAATTTTATTTAAAAACAGAAACAGTAGGACACAGTATCTATTTTCAGAAAGATGAAGACAAAGTCTTACCCTTCAGCAAACTAAATGTCAAGTGACACAGAATTATATTTAAGCACCATTCTAAATGCAGGATTTGTGTCTAATCTTTCCTCTCTCTTTGGGATATACAATTTTATTCAGAAGCTTCAAACCAGTGAAAACCAGATACTGAATAACTTCTAAATGAGCTAAATGTCCTAGGGGAAATGGGGAACTAAAGTCAGATTCTATTAAAATGTTCTCTTCCTTTCTAAAAGCTGTTTATGCAATCACACGCAAAACAAAAATTTGAATGGTATCATCTAAAAATAAAAGTTTCAAGCATGATGTTGGGTTCCAGTTTATAAAAGAAAGTTAAATCAGCCATAACTGCTACTTTATCTTACAAATGCATTTTCCTAGATTTATGCTAAATATTTTAAATATAGCTGACAGCGTGCTGCAAGAAGAGAAACAAATTATACATATAACAAGATGTCAGAAAGGAATAAAAGCATCTTGAAAATAAAATCCCAACAGCAGAGACAGCCCTAAACCTCTTAAAATAGCTTAAAGAAATTTGGTAGAAAACCTACTTCCTCAGATGTTTTAAAGAAGAGAGACCAGTTTATCTTGGGAAAATCCAGACCAAAAACGAAAAATTCAATGAAAACCAAAGCTGTAACCAGGGCGCTTCTTTCTCTGGATTAACAACTGTGCCTTTGCTGCATTTTAGGCCTTTGTACATCCTTTTTCTTTACCATAAACTATCAATCAGGCTACTAAGAAGCTGAATCTGTTGTAACAGGCAGTATTTCAAGAGGTTTCTATTCTACTCCAAGTCAGCAAGATGCCCCTTGGTTCATCATTTTTTCAGGCAGGTCTATTTTTCTTAAGTGAAATTTCTTTCTTTCTAATATTTTTCTTGAGGAAAGGTTACATTTTCTCATAAATTATCCCCCCAGAGATCCTTACCTCATGCTTGTCAGGAGCAATGAAGTTCAGCTGGCAGTTCGAGTCATACAAGATGGAGAAAGCGAGTTCAAGCACCTCCTACAAGAGATGAGAGAAAATAGCACATTAAGGAAAGTCAGCACCTTTCATTTTGCAGTTGCAAATGGCTGCACCTTGACCATGCAATAGGGCCAGCTTGTCTGGGCAGGTGTAGCTGTAATGAAGCTGATGGAAGGAGGAACCATGCTGTTCAAGGTTCCTTCTCTATTCAGGGTGGTCTGTGAACTCTCATTTAATTTGCATGTAGCAAATGTTTTCATCCTTTTTATGGGGCAGGGCTTAGAGAGGTTCAATGAGTGTCCAAGGTGATGGCCCCCTCCAAAACTGTGTTATTCTCCTACCTTCAGCATTTCCCTTCCAGAGAGGCCACAAAAAACAATAAACTCCCAATCAACAGCATTAATAGCTGCCCTTCCTTCTATCGTCCTAAGACAGACAGAAACCAAAGAGGTACGATCAAAGAGAGGCCATGGAGGTATGATTTCCCTAAAGTGTGGATGCTATACCAGCTGTAAGGAGGCCTCTAGGTGAATCCATAATCTTTACATCTGTCCTTTGACCTTTGAGCTACTGTACACCAAAGGCTACAGAAAGCCTAGGTTTTATCCAGAAGAGACTGTAAGGTATAAATGAGACGCATAGGCTCACTCATTGGTGATAACCTGCGGAATGCATGCAACAAGCCAGGCCCTAAGGTCCAGTGACCAAGTGACATTTTCATTTAATTGCAGGTGAATGACCAATGGCCAAGGCACTCAGTGTCATGTCTAATATGCACATTAAACTGTACTTCTCAAACTGTACATGCTGTACCAGTACTGTGTAGAACGATCATTCTAGTGGTCTGAGCGGTCAGTAGAAGATGAGAGTCATCAGCTCATGTCAGCATCCTGAGGACTCCTAGTCTGGAGGGAAGGGCCAAGTGTATCCAAACCAATGCTCTGTACTCTTCCAGTACGGAGGTTCTAGTGTGCCTTCCTTCTCTGTGCTTCTATTAGGCACCAGTGATGACCAGCTCTCTCCCCTGCTGTGATCTGCAAGCCACACTGCTCAGTAATTGCCCACAAAACATTATTTCTTAGGGAGCCAGATCTCTTCACATTATTCTCTACCTTAATATCTCTTAGCGGATTTGTCTTTGGCCTGTGACACACAGCAAAAATGCCCCAGAAAGAAGATAAAAGGCAAAAAGATGAGGTCAATGCCTACAGATTTCAGAATTTCAGATGGATTAAAGAATTATTCCAAAGTGGCTGCATGCCCCTCCCGACACGATCCATCACCCAGCTATTTCTGGCTTTTGTGGAGTTCTCTGTGTCTTATTCACCTCCAGCTGTCCCTCATTGAGAGGGGGCAGGTCTTGTTCTGAGGATAGACCTACCAGCATCTCACACTCAAAAGGTCTCCTCACCTTGACAGAAATAGAAACAAGCAAAGGAAAAAATGCTGAGTCATGGAATAGGAGCTATTCTGCAAAAATACTCTCCTCATTTTTCTATTCTTCTTCTTCTTTAGGCCCTGACTCAGGCCTACCCAGTAAAGACAATAATGTAAAAAGGAAGTTTGCCAAAACAAGCAAACAAACAAAAACTAATTGTCATGAAGTATAGCATCTGTTTCCATAACCATCTCTCTTGGGCCTTTTAATTTATAATTAAAACAGTCACAGCCTTACTATTAGTACTATAAATTCATATCATCCTTTTTTTAAAAAAAATTAATATGAAAATACATATCAAGAACCAGAGATGCTATGCCTGAGATAATTCCAAAAGAAAAATTAAAAACAAAGCAAAAGCTAAATATTATTTTCTGAAAGATCATTACGAGAAACTAACCTCTCCCTCTTTTGGGTAACAAAGAAATCATAAATTAGCCACCAAGAGAAATATATTTGGCCAATCCTTCAGTGAGATAATGATGGATATCTGAAGTTAAGTGGAGAAAAACAGGAGACATGAACACCGTGAATATACCAATCACAATTAAACAATGCCTACCTGTGGACAGAGACTGGAAGGAAATATGTGAAATGAAAATAATTGTGGTAAAGTGTTAGGTCATAGGTCATTATTCCTTCTTCAAACTTTTTTCCAACAAAATGCTACACAATAATTTCAGAAATTCGTAAAAGCTATTCTCAGATTAGGCACATTCATCAAAACGACGATTTATTCACTAATCTTTTAGAGTCATTTATTAGGAAAACTCTCTGACTCATACTTGAGTGACTGGAGAGAAAGGAGGGAGCAAGCTTTGCTTCTGAACAACCAGTCAAGATATTACAGTGGCGTGAGGGGCCTCAGAGGTAAACAGGAAAAGGCAAAGTTCATCCAGGCCACTTTGGGCTGACTCTCGGTGGCAAGTGCCCGACTGCTCAGGGAAATCACATGGCTGATCATTCCTTGCTGACAAGAGCTGGTGGGAACAGCACTGCAGCCCAGATGTGCTCCCGACAGGGTGCTGAAGTCACTTGAGACCAGAGTGTCAACATGGTTATTGCTGTGATACTTTCTCCTCTACAGGGGGATGGAGAAGGAAGGAAAAGGAGGGAGCATGCAAACTTTGGGCTTTGCCCTTCTATGGCATATACCACTCACGACGTGAATGATTGGAACTGTCATGACCTAGATTTCTGATAAACACAGGCAGGAAATGGGAAATTCGTGATAATGTCAATTCCCACTTTAATTTCACGAAAGCTGCCTGGGAGGGGGTGGGAGGAATTAATTCTCTGAGCTGCATGTCTGTGTTAAAGGGTGCTATCGCTTATAATGGGTTTATTGATGTCTCTGGCTTGCTGTTGTTGAGTCACTGGTGAAGGTCAGCTCTTCAGTACTTGGAGCAGGGAGGCTGCAAAGCTGGGAGCAATGGCACCTTTCAGGCTAACACTCCAGAAGCTGCCACCTGTCCACACTGTCCATGAGGGATAAGGCACCAGGTGGTGGTGGAGTAGACTATCACTGATCCGTGTCCCCCTCAGGGCCTTCTTGCCTCCACACACCACAACACTCACTTAGACATCGGAAGCTCTGGGGCTTTGTTGCTCATGACCAAAGCTCTTTTATTCCTCTGGATTTAATGCAGTGAAAAATGACATCCAGAAGCAGCTTCTCTCTGTACTTTGCTGTGCTGATGCCTGCTTGTCCCCTTGTCATGTGGAGGAAGCCTGATTTCTAGGGAGAGTGGAGGCAGAGGACACCAAACACCCTTCCATGCCCTGAGGCTCCTGACCCTGTACTCAACACTCTGGCCCTGGGACAGAAGACAAGGCATGCTGAGTCAGTGGATGCCCAGAAAAATGGCTTCTGGGGTTTGGGGACTGCCATCTTCCATGGGTCAAATGAGGAACTGACTGATCACAAGAGTTGAGTTTTATGCAATATGTATTCAGTGTACAGGGTTGGCTGCCAATCCTTACGTTGTTTGAGGGTAACTCACCACATTTGGCCATTTTGCTAGCATTCACTTAACTATATTGGTTCTCTATCCAGGTCATTACAAGAGCAAAGCATTTTGATAAAAGACACAGGATATAGCTTGGCATGTGTGTGGGTGTTAAATATGGTCATAGACATAGCAGTAGATTTGAGAACTATAGTGTATTGCTGCTCAGATATCTACAAATTTGGATTTCTATTTCAGAAGGCAAAAACCACTCATTCATGTAGTATATAACAGAGGAGATTACCATCTTTAGGCAGCTATAACTCTCTGGCCCCAGTCTATCTTAGCAGCATAACTGGCCAACAGTTCTCCAATCCATACTCTTCTCCCCATTCCCATCAGTCCTATAGTCTAAATTCAATGTTTCCCAATCAGAGGATGCTTTTCACATGAGCAAAGGCCCCTGCCCCTTTTCAGATCGTTTCCTCCTCTTGGAAAGTCTTCTCCTCACTTCTCTGCCAGGCCAATTCCTTTTCAAAAGCTAGATCAGATGCCATTTCCTGCATCAGCCTTTCTCAGTTCTCCCAGGCTCCCTCTGTGTTTAATTTTTTTGAGCAGAGACATATATAAATCTTATCTACTGGATACCTAGGGCCAGGGGCCCGGTCATATTTATCTTTGGATTCCTGGCACCTAGCACAAAGGAGATGCGCAATACATTGCTGAATGAATGAATGAATGAATGAATGATGTATGAAGTAAATGTGAATAAAGGGCTTTTTGGCTAAGACCAGCATTTTCAAACTGATGCTAGGATATCAGCTTCAGTAGAATATGCTTCTTATTTCAGGTTTAAGCATCACACTGGAAAAACAAATGCTTAATTCTGGCAAATAGGAAGATAGAATCTTCTTTTAAACCAAATATACACCTATCTGAATCACTGGATCTAGTGAGATCTTCACTCTGGTGATTTCATGTTGACTATTGAACTAAAAGCCCCAAATCCAGTGGGACAAGTATCGAGAATGCCCACCTTAAAGCACACAGCCACAATCAGCTTATTTTTATACATTATAGAGTTTGAATTTAGAATCCTCAATCCTTGTAAATCAAAGCCTTCTAACTGAGTTTCCATCTACTCATGACAATTCTTTTCAAGTCTCAATCAGACATTTTCTGGTACCTCTGTGAAGAACCCAGCATTTCTTGTCTCCATAAAAATGTGCCTGCTGCACTGACCTCTGTTAAACATAGTAGACTCTAAGCTCCAGAAAGGCCCCCTGCTACCCCATTTGCATCCTATGCTCAGAGCTCATCCTATTTCAGGCACTCCCATGCTGACTGAGTAGATGACTGACTACATGAACAAATGCCTCTGCAGTAGACACCTCAAGGGAAAAGACCAATTTTCTTCTTTAGGTTCCCAGGGCCCTGCTGGGAATATCAGCAGAGATTGAGTGGGTGAGAGAATGATCAGTTATTAACACTCTGCCATTAACAAAGTATCTCCTTTATGGATGCCAATGGCTCAGTTTGCCTTTCTTGATGATTAAGTTAACCATGGGTCTCCTGGCACAAAATGTCAAAACTGTTCCACAGGTGGAAAAACTGTCCAAAGAGCCAGCAATTTGCCTTGGTTGTTGCCCACCCACCGTGCACTGACAGACCTCTTATGAACACATTTTGGTCGATTCTCCTTTTAGGCAGTAGGTCCCCCCTTTCCTACCCAGAAGTCCCAGAGGTAGAGAGGAGGGCACCTCTGGAGTACTGGGAAAAGGGGTGTGGCTTGGGGGGTTGAGCAGGTGAAACTGTGGCTTTCCTTCTCCCTTTTGATGTTTTGCTTGATGACATGGTATATATGAACACTATTAACATTGCAAGACAAGTAAATTCCATGTATATGCTAATTAAAGGGCCAGGCTGCTTGAATTCTGCTACTCTCATCCCTCATGGCAGACTGGAAGAGCCCAAAGTAGCTAGAATATATGGGCCAGTGAGTCCCAGAAAGCAGCCTTTATTTGCAGTCTTATTTATATCTGTTTACAGCAATGTACCCTATCTATCCATCATCCTCCAGCTGTCCATCCATCATCCATCTATCCATCATCATCCATCCTACGTTTATGAGTATCATAACAATATGTGAAAAATAAAGGAAGGCCAAATATACTACCTTATATGTTCAAATGAAATCAACTCCACACCTGATACATTGGTGACTCTCATTTTTTTCTTGGTTAGCCAGGTTGGAAGTTTATCAATTTTATTCATCTTTTCAAAGTACCAGCTTTTGGTTCTGTTGATTTTCTACTGTTTTCAGTATTATTGTTTTCTACTCTAAATTTTGTTATTTCTTTTCTTCTGCTTGCTTGAAGCTTACATTGCCCTCCTTTCTTAGTGTCCTAAGGTGGAAACTTCATTGATTTTAGTTCTTTCTTCTTTTCTAATGTAGTCATTCAATGCTACAAATTTCCCTCTAAGCACTGCCTTCACTGCATCCCACACATTTTGGTAAGCTGGATTTTCATTTTATTTAGTTTGAAACATTTTGTAATTTCTCTTGAGAATTCTTCCTGGAACTGTGGGTTATTTAGAAGTGTGTTGTTAAACTTCCAAATATTTGGGGAATTTTCCAGCTATCTTTCTGCTATTGATTTCTAGTTTAATTCCACTGTGATCTGAGAATATACTTTGCATAACTGCTATTCTTTAAATTTTTTAAGACATGTTTTACAGTCCAAAATGTAGTCTATCTTGGTGAATGTCTCCTTTGAACTTATGAAGGATGTGTATTCTGCTGCTGAGTGGATTATTCTATTAGTGTCAATGAGATTAAGGTGATTTATGGTACTGTTCAGGTCATCAATATTCTTCTCGATTTTCTGCCTGCTTGATCTATTGATTACTGACCAAGGGATGTTGAAGTCTCCAATATATGAATAATAATGAACTTGTCTATTTCTCCTTTCTGTTCTATCAGTTTCATAACTCATGTATTTTGATATCTTCATGTTAAGTTTAGACATGTTAAAGATGATTATTTACATATTTTGATATCTTTATGTAAAGTTTATACATGTTAAGGATTATTATGTCTTCTTGGATATCTGACTTTCCACATTCCATGGTGATGGTTTGCTTGCAACCTCAGTTGTAGGATAGGTCCAGGAAAAGTTGTTGATATCCACTTTGCTTCACTTCTTCTTATTCTAAGGATGGGAGCACAACTCTCAAGCTCTTTACATATGGGAGCTGAAACAGGAAGTCTCTCCATACCTATTTAACATAATTCCCCCTGTCTTTATTTAGCACACTTGAATTCTGGCAGTTGCTATTTTTCCAGGTACACCCTTTCTGGTCTTCTCTGGGTTGCAGACCCCTGTTACTGCCAATTTCTCCACACTGTTTCCAGCTCAGCCCCAAGTGTTATGTAACTGTGGGGATCTCTTTAGCTGGAGCTGAGCAGAACCAGTGCTCTCCGAGATTGTGGAGAGCATACCTGACATGTGCAGCATATGGTAATCCCGGCTGGTGTTGAAGAAAGTCTGCTCCACAAGAGGCAAACCATGAAAACTGGAGATTTGCTGCTATAGCTAAGAATGTTTCTCTGATGTGCTGAGCTGTAGAATCTCTGTCTCCCCACAGCATGGAGAAGAGATAAATGGGAACCCCCGTTGGTGCTGTGTAACAGATAGCCCACAGACCCTGGCCTCTTGGCCATGCCCTGCCATCAGTATGCTTGCCAATCAAATGCATCACATGACAGTGCTGTGATGGGCTCAACAAGGTGGGCATTACCATGGACTTGAGGTGAGTTATAGAACTTACGAAGGAAAGGTTTTGCAATCAGCCTCTTTAGCTGCATCCCCTGTCCTCTGCCTTCCTGAACAGGATTTTTATAGTACTTTTATTTTTCCTTAACCATAGATAGAACCATCCTCCAAAGAACTGGATTCCCTTTTGTCTTATAAGATTAGAGATTACAGAGTGGAAACTATTTATTTTAACCCTGATTGGTAATTAGGTTGTGTATCATTTTGGTGTCCCTCTTAGATACTAACACTGGAAATAAAGATGCAACCTATTGATCTATGTGACATTTCTTCGTACAGGATTATCTGGGTGCCCCAAATACTCTGGATACTTTTGTTCAGGAATGGTATAGATCACAAGATTTCAAGAGGCATGAACAAAGAACTGGCTCCCTGATGGCCTCTCCAAGGACAAATACATATAGCGGGCAAAAGAAACTCATTTATCTTTTCAAATAATGCCCCCTCGGGTGCCCTCTGTAACGAAATGATAATGGAATGGTTGGTAAACCAGGAGGAGTTGGTGAAAGGAGTATTGCAGTGTGAAGTGGGCTTAAGTAATACACACCTCTGGGGAAATTTTGTCCTTTAATCTGAGTTGGAGATATTTCATGGCCTACTCTCCACGATGCTGAAGGGCATCAGGGCTTTAAAGTTTTCTGAGATTCTTTGAGTCAGCTGCTCTCTGCCTGTCCCAGGCTTCATGGAGATCCCAGAGAGGATATTAAGGGCATGATTACAGCAGGAGAAAATGAAAGATATTGGGGTGGAAATTGGCGAAGGGAGGAATAAACATAAATGGTGGAGGTTAGGAGAGGCCCAGGGAATGGATGGATGAACAGAAGAAGCTTAAGAGAGGACAAGGTGGCAATAGTGAGGGCAATTCTTAGGGTTGGAAGTAGATAGGAAGTGAGAGACTGGAAGAGATGGTAGGCATCAGTAAAGGGGTCAGAAAGAGAAAGAATAAGGATAAGAGATGTGAAAGTAATTGGGACAGGAAACAGGAGAGCTGAATAAGAGATGTGTGACTGAACACACACACACACGCACACACATACACACACACACACCCCACTGCTATAAAGGAGGGCTGGGCTGGCTGTAGTTGCTGACTGCATCAGGCAAATAGAGCTATTTGCAATAATTTGGAAATCATACCTTGTTTTGTTTAAGGGCACCTTTCTCTTTCATATGAGGGCAGTCCTTTCCCGTCACCACGGCTTTGATATCTGCCACCGGCACTGCAATTCATAAAAGAAAATGCAAGTAACTACACCATGTGAAAGCTTCGATGTCAATAAAGAAGCAAGGCTAAGCCCTGGGTCTGCTACTGTGGTTGCCAATCCCAGAAAAAGAGAAGAGTATTGAAAAGAGGAAGAGAAGCCAGGTAGTGTCCCAGGACTAGAAACTAAAATATATCTTATATTTGGGTAAAAAGCATCCCTGGGGAAAAAGAGCTTGCTTGTAAGCAGAATTTGGTTCATTGAAACAAAGACCTAAAAAAAGTACGCATCACAGTACCATTTGAAGTGATGGCATTAGAAACAGCAGTAGAAATAACAGTGACTGTAGTAACGACAGTGATACTAACATGGATATTAACGAGGGCTTCTGTGTGACAAGAGCAATGCCAAGTGCTTTACATACATCAGTGTCTCTTGCTACAACATTTGCATCTATTTAGTTTCTCAGTTTTTGGATAATGAGAGAAAGCAGCCTTATCTCAAAAAATTTATCCAATATAAACAGTTCTGAACTCTCCCTCTCCAAAATCTCTTTTCTCTGCCATCTCATTAATTCAGTAAAACAGGTGTATTATCCTTCTCCTTGTTATTATCCTTTCGTTGTCTGTTTTACAGACAACAAAACTAAACTCAATTAAATAAAGGGAGAATTCCTTTCTGATACAGGATTCTGGAAATGCAGATAGACAAAATGATGTTATCTCATGTCTTACTCTGGAGTTGGAGGAAGGTAAGAAAAGATATGAAAGAGTTTGTGCACTTAAAACTTTTGTTAAGATCAGCTGAAACAGGCTGGGAACAGTGAGTGGCTCGTGCCTGTAATCCTAGCATTTTGAGAGGCTGAGGCAGGAGGGCTGCTTCAGCCAGAACTTTCGGAAGAGCCTGGGCAACATAGGGAGATCCTGTCTCTATAAAAAAAAAAACAACATGAAAAAAAATAGATCAACTGAAAGAAAGAAGGTAGCAGGATGGTTTGGAACCTTAATTTAAAATAATGCAAAGTCACCTGTCCCTCTTCAATCCCTAATTCTCCAGCCCCATATCAGTTTATGAATTAAGGTATGCATACTGACTAGTGTGGCTTTACCAAGAATTTGGAATGTGCAGAAATGCCAAGTAATCAATTCCTTAGACTCTCTTAATGAGGAAGATGATGAGAGATTTCATAGTAAAAGCTCACATCCTTTTATTGGGAAACTGGGTTGTGAAGGTGAGAGAAAAGGATAAAATTACAGAATACCTAGAATATTAAAACAATAAACAAGAACTCAAATACTAACATTTTCCAGGTACCCTAAAATTACTGAGAACTTGGTCCATATCTGTTGACACTCCTAGTCCTCAGTGTAACCCTAAGAAGAGTGGGGTTGAGATGAGTCCTCCAGGAATCCCTGTAGGTTCCCCTGCCATATCTCACGATGTCTTGCAACCTGATTCTGGACTCTTTTGCTAGACATTACTCATGTTTATGACTAGCTGTCTCTCCTTTGCTTCTGGCCACATAGAAAACTATATTTCCCAGCAACCTTTGCAGTTGGGTCATGTGACTAATTTCAGCCAAGAAAATGTGAAAGGAAATTCTTCTTTTCTAGTTTGAGGCCCTCCATTCTGTCTTCCCCAGCTGCAGAAACTGAAGGAGCAACCTGTTCCATCCAGATGGCACAGGAGAGGCCAAGGGAATGGATGGATGAGCAGAGGAGGCTCAAGGGAGGACAAGGTGATGATAGTCAGAGGGTAATTCCTAGGGTTGGAAATAGGAAGTGAGAGAATGGAAGACATGGCGGGCACTGATCTGTGTTCCTGAGTGTCTGTATGGAGCAGTCCTTTGCCAACCTGTGTTTGTTGTGTAATGTGAGTGAGAAATAAGCTTTCGTTGTGCAAGCCATGGAGATTTGGGGGTTGTTCTTGCAGCATAAGGTAGCAATGAAGCCCCTTCTTACTGACCTCAGACCTCTTCTCTGCCTCTTTGCCTGACCCTGTTAGGACTGGCATCTTCCTGTGGGTGGTTCCTATGATTCTTGAACCTACTTTTGACCATGAACACTGACTTCAATTCTTTTCAAATCCATTTTTATAACCAAGAACTGGCTTTGTTTCCCTCAGTAGCTGATCTGACTGCCTAATCCCTACCCTAGGAAGGGACATTTGGATACTCTGGGAAGTTGGTTAACTTTTCAATGGAAAACCCACCATTGAAGTGAATGTGATATAGTCAGCAAACTCATTCTAAAACACGTTCTCAAGATTCAAATAGAGTTTGAGTCACAAGTGCCTTGTAGAAAGGTTTTTTGTTACAATAGACAACATGGTCCATGAACTAGAGAGAATGTCTACAATATACAATTGGTAAATTACCCTTAGCTTTGAAAACCCATCGTATGGAATGGGACAAGAGTAATACCATCGTCTGTCCTGGGGGCGGTCTTCAGAATCTCTAATAGAAATGTTTCCAAGGAGAAGAGACACTTTGTCACTAGGTTTTGTGGAAGCACATTTTAAAAAATATATATGCGTTGTCCCTTGTCCTAGAGACCAGCTGCTGTATCATTCATAGGATTATGACTAAAAAGAAAACACAAAGTTCTAAAAATACAGTGTAGCTTTTAAAGGTTGCTTTTTGCATAGTTTGTCTCTAGATGCACCAGAAGACTAGGCATTGGAAAGGCTCAAATACTGACCTCTCTATTCTCATGAGCAGAAAAAGAGGGATTAGACTCCTATCTCCTGAATCTATACTCTAAGGAGGCCACAGGGGGCTTCTGATGACTTCAAAGCCAGGCTAGCATTTTGATGAGGCCTTTTGTGTGGAAGCAAGATAAAGAAGTGGGGCCCAGATATACGAGAATTAGGAGGGTCACCAGTAAAGAAGGCACCCTCCTGCCACACTTACCCCCTGGGCATGGCCTCATTTCTTTCAATGCTTTTTAAAGTTTGACCTAGGTTGAGATCATCTTGATTCAACAGTCCTATTTTACAGCTGGGAAGACTAAACCTAAAGTGAGGAAATCAATTGTGCAGTGACACACAGCTATGCTAGTAGGAAAAAAGTGCTAGGTTTAGTTATCTTTCTTCCATCCCATGCTCCCTTGCTAGGCCCATGATATCTTCCTATGTTTGTAAGGTGCCAGTTCCCCAAATCATGCTGAGCACAGCCCCAAACATGATTATCACTTCAGACATTCAGGAAACTCTTTGATTGCTAATATCTGTGGAAGGAAGTTTAATTGTGATTTAAAACAAAAATACAACTGAAAAAGTAAATGTGGCCGCCCACGATGAAAATAGTTTCAGCTTTCATCATTGGGATCCAAGTTCAGGCAGAAACCATTCAGAGGAAGTAGCTAGTAAGCCTTGAGCACTTGCTGTGTGGATAGCTCCACAGTAGAAGCTCCTGTGGGTAGAGATATGGAGGAGGTACAGGCTGATCTCAGGATAGTTGCATGAAGAATCTGATCTCTTTGGCCTAGCTGATCAGCCACATGGCATGGAATGGTGAGGAGAGATGTGCCTTTGAAATCAGAGTGCCAGGGTTTGAATTCTACATCCACCAACTGCCTCTACTACTTTGGGCTTAAATTCTCAGAGCCTCAGCTTCCTTGCCTGCAATGTGTAACTCTAACATTATCTATCCCATATGGTTGCTCTGAGAGTTAAATCCTGTTGCTGGAGCTGAGATCATTGTTGGCTTTTAATCTAGGCAGTACACAGTAGTGGGTGAAAATCTGGGCCATGCAGTTAGACGGTTACATTCAGGTCTTTGCTCTACTATTTACTAATCTTATGACTTTGAATGCTACTTAATCTTTCTGTATCTCAGTTTCCTTTCTGTAAAATAAGGACAATATTATCTACCACTTTAGGTTGTTGAGAATAATTTATGTAAAGCCCTTAGCACAGCGCCTGCAATATAGTAAGCACTCAATAAATGCCATTTGCAATTATTCCTATTATCAATAATCTGAGTGAATTCTTTCTGTAGATGGAGGGACCTGAATTATTTGCTGTGCTTTGGTGACCCAAATTGCCCATGATGCCTCCCTGTGTGGCTGCTCTCCTCATGCACTGGATCAGGCTTAATCTCAGCATGGGAGGGGGTGAGCCAGTGCTTTCCTCCTTGCCCCCTCTGATGTGGAAGTGAGGAATGCTGGCTTAGATTCTTTCAAAGGGAAGCAGTGAGGAAGCCAGGGCATGGCTGGAAAGCAATGGGGTCCTATGATTTTGGGGACAATGACAACCTGTAAGTCATCTTGGGAGGGATATGGGGAGAGAGGGGATATCAGGAGATATTGATTTTCAAAGGCCAAATTTCCTGGCAAAGTAAAAGAATACAAGAAGAAAGATTTCCTAAAGCTTTCGAGAAGAAGATAACCAAGAAGAGGCCCTCAATCCTCAAATGCACTATTTGTATTAAAAAAAACTCCATTATACTATTGGATTTATCAAGAGCTCAGTATTCAGCACTGATTAACTCAAGGGGCACAAGACCACTGTGCCTTGGTCTCAAGAGAGGGCAATGGTATGTGGCAAGAGCAATGACACTGAACATTAATTAAAGGCACAGCTCATTTTTCCAGTGGAATGAGGTTTTTGACTTTTAAGAGTTCCAAAAGGGTGACTTTTGCTCCAGGCAGAATGCAGAATTGGAATTAGATGCAAACCAAGGTGGCAGGCCTGCAGCAGCAAACTTCAGCCTCCTAGGCCGGGCTTTTTTGTCTCAGGCACATTATTGCTTCATTTCAATTCATTAAATTAGTATACCCTTTTCTCTAGCACGTATGTGCAGAAGGATACAATCTTACCAATACACACACACACACACACACACACACACACTCTCTCTCTCTCTCTCTCTCTCTCTCTCTGTCACACACACACACAGGCACACCCCCCTCCCACAAGGCGTGGATAAATACTTGTACGGACAAATAGATCAGCAAAAGTATGCATTCTTAGTTCATCTTGCAATGGATAAACTGTTTTTGGAGCAGCTCTTTGGAACTGCATTTCAGAGGAAAGGGGTTGCTAAGAGTTTTGGAGGCATGGTCAGGAGGGGCTGTCATAACCCCCTCAAGAATCAGCCTCACTCAGTGGTCACTGCAAAAAGTTGTATGGAGATTTGTAGCTCTGGCCTTGCTCTCCTGCACTCATCCTGGCAAGCCATCTCTCCCCGGCATCAGCACCTCTGGTTCAAAGTTAGTTATTTTTACCCTGGAGTCTTGAGGGTGAGGGTCTTAGCAGAGCTGAGCGGCATCAGCTTGCGGGCAAGCCCAGGAACTGCCCCTATACCAGGCTCTGCTGCTGTGGCTGCCAATTTCCTAGGTAGCTGGCCAGTTAGCATGGGGGTGCTGTGCTAACAACTGGCAAACCTGTTGGTCAAGTGCCTATCTTTGGGTTGAGAAGTGATTACATCCCTATGAACATGGGGCTAAACACTATGTCCAGTTAGGGGAGAGCAGATTCACTGGACCATATGGGGAGTCAAGCTGTGTTTGCTCTGTCCTGACCGCTTTTCCCCTTGTGACATGTTAAGAATGGGGCTGTGGGGAACCTCCTGGGGAGCTGCTGTTTACTTCAACTAATAATAATCTCTAACTCTTTCTGTTTAACCACTGCAGAGCAGTGATGTGGACATTGCTGGCCTCTGATCAGTTCCTAGTTCTCAAGGCAGTTTACACCAGTGAGCTAACAGCAAGTGCAGAAAAATGAGGACACTGGTTTGAGTTTTTCAGAGAGCTAATTTAGTTTAGCAGAAGGGACTGTCTTTTTTCTAAGATTAGGTCCTTCTTACTTTTTTTTTTTTTGTAATCAAGGGTCCTTTCTTTTATGAAAAGGTTGTGACATTAAATTTTAGTTAGATTTTATTTTTTAATGTTCTTTTTTTTTTTTTTTGGCCCAAGTTAAAAGTTAGCAACACATTATTAATTTACTTAAACTTTTTTTTTTTAAATTATTAGTGAAGGGCATGATTGGGGAATCAGAGTTCTCAAACTTATGCTTGTTAGAACTGCCTGGAACATCTGTTAAAAGAGGGATGGCCAGTCCCCGTCCCCTGAGTTTCTGATTCAGCAGGACTGGGGGTAGGGTCAGAATGTGCATTGTTAAGAAGTTCCTAGGTGATACTGCTGCTGACGTTCTGGGGACCACATTTAGAGAATCAGTGGTCTAGCCTGCCCAAGGTGTGGTGGGGAAGGCTTGAACTGTGGAGGGAGGGTCCTCACTTACAAGTGGAAGCCCAGGACATCCCTAACTCCTGCCCCAGGGCAAGGAGGCACAGACAGTGTCCCAGACTCTCTGAAGCAGTGGATTTCAGATTTCTTTCTCTAACCCCTGACTAAGGGAGCCAATAATGTAGGTTGGGAAGAAAGTTCTCCTATTAAAGAAAACAAGATTGCTTTCTGAACTAGCTGATACTACAAAGACCACACTCTCCCATTTTTAAGCTGGAGAAAGAGAATGTTCCAGGCTGTCTGCCTGAGATGTCAGCACAGAGTCTGAATGTGTCAGGAAATTTCCCACTCATGGGTTATTTTCACCTTCAATGGCCATGAGCTGTAAGGAAGATAATCCAGATTTGACTTTCATGGGCCTGAGGGTGATAGGGCAGAAGGTGTGAGACTCTGGGTAAGGAGTCTGTCAGGGACACACTTATCTGCAATGTCAAGGTGACTTTTAAAGGTCATTTAAAAGTGCTCTGAATGTTTTCTCCCTCTTGGATTTTTCTACGTAGGATATCCTCTGAGGCTACATTCATTTTATCTCATTTATTCTCTAAATTAATTTATTACCCTTGTGTATTTCAATGTTTCTATAATACTCGTTTAATTTGTATGGTGAACACTGTTAAAATAACCGGCACCTGGCTCCGTGTGGGGCTAAAAGAATCCTGCACATTACTGTCTCTTCAAAAGCATGTATGTTACAACAGACAACATGCAGAAAAAGCCAAAAAACATACAAGAGAAATACTTAGCAAACAGTAGAGGTAACTGATCATCAATTTTCAAAGTGTCCAAGTTACTTCTTGGGGGTAAACTAGCTATATTCAGATCTGCTATTAACTCTGTGTCATAACTATGGGATACATTAAATCGTAATGAATAAATGTTGTAGGGGTCAGGCATATAAGCAATTAAAATAAGAAATTATTTTGGGTTTTCAGAAAAAGACAACTGAAAGAGTCAGGTTTGTACTGTTTTTGCTCCTTGACACAGCACCTGGATAAATAATGTAAAAAGCGGATGTTTGAACCCCAAGTTTACATCGTTCCGTTAAGATACATTTGCATCCATTTCACATGCTCCCCTGTTCAGTTCCAAATCCCAAGTCCATCCAGGTCTTGTACTTGATGAGATGGCTCAGGCCAAGACTTACAACCAGATGAGATGTGTTCAAAGGGCTTACTTAGGCTGATGGTTTTGCTGCATGGTATACTGCAACCAGGAAACAACCAGCTGACTGAGACTCAGGCCTCTGCCAAGGGGAGCTACTTACGTTTGTCCTGCAAGGAATCGTGGGGCACTTCTCCCTGAGGACTCTCTTCTAAATCTCCGTAATGCAGGACTTTGTGATTTGGCGAAAGCCGACAATACCAAAACTTGTCTGAGAGAAAAAACACAAGTTTACAAGGTAAGTGATTCTGGTTTCTAAAAATACTAGCCTGGTTATTTCTTAATACTCTTCCCTGGAAGAACAAGCAGTTCATTTGATTTTAAGTCTTGAGGGAGAATAAATTCTACGGCCCTGGGCAGTGAGTTCCCCTTTGATTTTGATAGTTATCACCAGTCCTGCTTGGCATGCATTTGGTAACCATTAGTTAAGTCATCCAACCCTTCAAGCTCAACAGCAATAGATTTTATGAGGTGGCGGTTTCCAGAGGGTATTTTATCACTAATGATAACCACCACAGGAACTGCTCCGTATTCATTCAGGCCTGACAGAAGAGGGAGGGAGATACAGACAAAACCAGATTTCTCAGAATGTTTCTGCTTCCCCTTTCCTCTCTGAGAATTTCAGACTGTTGAGATAGTTGTATCCAAGGCCATATTTTAGTTGATACAACAAAACCCTACCCTAGGCTACCATACACACATTAACCATGAACAAATCGTTAGGATATTGGTGATACATATGGTGGGTGTGATTCATGAGGAAATCATCTAAATAATTCAGAGATTTAGCCAAAGAATGGGAACATGAACAATCATTCTTCTCTCTAATTCCCAGAATTTACTTCTCTGAATAGGCATGACCAGGGGATTAGGGTCACTGTCATAAACAACTTCCTAAGCTTTACCACCTCAGTCTCTCAAAAGTAAGAAGAAATTTTGAGTAAGTCTAGGAGGCAGGAAGAAAGAGGCAAAGAGCACTGTTTATAGATTAGGGACTTGAACTATGACAGCAATGCTTGCACATCTCTCAAGGCTCTGTTTAGATGCTGTCACCTCCGGGAAGCCCTCTTTGATCACTGCAGACAAAGGGCCTCTCCTCATCCTCTGAGCTTCTTTAAAATCTTTGTACCACCCATTTGGCTTGGACTGGCACTATTGGAGCCTACATGTTAACACCTTAGTATTTCCCTTTATCTGCCACAGACCCTAGGTAAACAACTTGCCGTTGAGGGTGTATTGTGAACAATTAATACTGACAGGAGAAGGAGACTCCAGCCCTGACAGTGTGAGGCACACTGTCTCTCTGATGACAGTCAACTGTCTTCATAATTGCAATGGCCCAATCTCTTAGCACAGCGCCTGACACATAAAAGTTGCACAGTTGGCATCAGCTAAGCTGATAAACGAAGACCCAAGGGGACCTGATCAAAATGCCTAAGGCATGCAGTATGTGTCACCTACAAGCCCCTTTGCACCACTGTGTGGTTGATACCCTCTGTGGTCTTGGTTGAGTTACCTCATTGCTGTGCCTGAAACATAATTTGTTTTGAAGCCACATTGACTAAAAAGCTCTTCATTATATTTTAAGAAAAGTGGTTTTCTATCTAAAATTGCTGTTAGTGCAAACCCATGTTTTAATTATGATTCTTTTAATAGAAAGTGAAGTTTTAAGAATGGAAGTAAAAGCCACACAATGAACAAAGAAAATGCCCAAATTTGATCCACAAAAGGAGAGTGTCTCCGTGGTTCTTATCTTCCTTGTCTTTAAATAGACTTTGAGAATTCTGAAGTGTAGTCAGAATATGGCAATCCATAGATTTAAAGAAATATGAACTCTGGTGGAAAAACTTGAACGGGAAAAAGGTCATTTAGTAACTAGGAAAACATTTGAAATTACTAAATTTCAAAATTATGCTATGTATACAGCAAACATGGGTCATTGTTCTGGGAGAGCATTTCAAAAGGAGAAAACAGTTATTCTCTGAGTAATTCACAGACATTTAAATTAGGCAAATGTGTACTTATGCATTTTTCATGAGGAGAACAACTTTGGGAATTTGACTTGTAACTCACAATAGGAATTGTGAATTGCAGAGTAGGAGACAATGCTTTTAGAACATCAACAGTGCTCTTGGGGGCCCGTGGGGGCTGCCTCTCTCCACAGGTCCTTTCCTTTGCCCTACATGGTTGTGGTGACCAGAAAGCCAGCTGGAGAAATCTGTTGTAAAGCTCTCCTTTCCCTGCTGCATCTAGGTTATATGTTTGGCTAAGTGAGCTACTTTAGGGTGATAGAGGCTGGGAAGGAAGACAGTCAGAAGTGGCACTTGGACATGCTGGGCTTATGGTGCGTTAGGTCTTAGCCTGTGCTTTATAGGAATCCCTTGCTTCTCAGGCTGGGGTAAGTAAACTCTAGGGGTCAGCAGTGGGTCTTGAAGCCAAGCCAATGTGTCACAATCAAACAAGATCAACGACACTCAATTGATTTTGAGGGGAGGAATTAAGAAATCTAACTGGTGCACAGTATAATACAAACATACATTATCATAGAGTAAATTACACAACTTAATATTCATGTGTAAGATATACTGATTTGTAAGACTTCAAAAATTTTGCTGCATCTACTTTCAGAATAAATTTGTTTATCCAATGAATACTTGCTGAGTGGTTGTGTCTACAATGTACACAGCACTCTACTAGGTGTAGCAAAACATCATTAGAATGGAAGGCAGACATGAAAGACAAAGGCAAGGAGCTCAAGGAAAAGGAGCTCCCTCAGTTCTTCATGGCAGCTACAGAAAGATGTTGTTTCCCAGGTCTGGGAAGTAGGAACCAGGACAAATCAGCAAGTCTGGCTATACTATAGGGAAAAACAGGAATGCAGAAATCTCTTGTGCAACATATTCTTATATTCAGAAGTGATTAGAGAACAGTGGCTATTTATCAGAGTTCCGAGAGGCAAAACAGCCATCTTCCTTGCAAAGTTACAGTCGATGTTTGTTTAAAGAAAACCCAACGGTCTGCAACAGACAGATTTTCCTCCTTTCCAAAGCTTACATTCCCTTGACTTGCATGACACCATTTTGCCCTGGTTTTCCTCCTACCTCTGGCTAATTATCTTATCCTATACATGTTCATATTTTTCTCTCTACTACTAAAACGATAAAAAGCAAAAGATTGGTACATCACAGATATAAGTGATGTGTTCCACTCCCCCTATCAATTAGAAAGTCTTGGATGGATGACAAAATATTGGAAAAAGGGCTTGAAAAGGATGAGAAACTTGTCTTGTCTCATAATCACATGGGAGGCTACTCAGCCAGGATCTTCCTCAGGGTAAAACTGGAGTCCTTAGCTTTGGAAAGCTTAGACGTTGCATACTTCTGTCTTGAAAGGAGAGCTGCTATAAGGACCAGCACCGTGCGTCAACATGTTGGGTGAGACAAGTTTCAGTGTCAGCCACCAGCGGCAGCTTGATTTGCAGCTTCTATTATGACAAGAAAAATGTGTATTTTCCTTTCAAAACCCAGCATGATGTTACTTGTTCCTCTATTCCTCTGGGCAATGAAAGAGTGAATTGCGTCACCAAAAGCAATTAGCAGGAAGCAGTGAGAACATTATCAAAGATTGTTTACTAGCATTTAAGGAGAAAATAAGAGTTAATATGGAGGTCTTCCAGCCAATTACTAATGAGAATACGTTAACAGCCACTGCTTCATCTTCAAACCCAAGACAAAATATGGGGACAATTTAGAGTTTCAATCTTTTTTTTTTTTTTTGAGTGTGTGCGTGTGCGTGTGCGTGTGCGTGTGTGTGTGTGTGTGTGTGTGTGTGTAGGATAAGAGGTAAAAGCTGATTTCAGAGCTTACAAGCCTGGTAAGAAAGGCTGATTAAAGCTATCCCCAATGTCACATAGATTATTATGGACCTAATAACCACTGTCAACAGTAATTTTTGCAGTGCCATCCAACAGAACTTCCTGCAATGCTGGAAATTCTCTATATATGTTTTATCCAATACTAAGAAAAAAAATTTAAATTTTCTTTAATTTTAAATAACTTAAACAGCCACAGGTAGTTTTGTCAGACAGTGTGGCCCACTGTCCGTCTTCATCATCCAGGCTGAAGATAAGCTTGGGGCTGGTCCCCAGGTCTGTAGGAGAGCCCAGCAAGCTGAGCAATAGCTACCACTGGTGGGTGTGAAATGCCGGCCAGTTCAGTGAGACACGGTACAGCAAGAACCAGCCCTGAGACTCAACCGTGGATTCAGGACACATCTTTGTCTTGAGCACAGAGCCTGCCGTCGGCACCGGGGGGCTGACCCAGGGAGCCCAGAGAGTCCTGTGTTAGGGAGGACAGACTTTTCTAAAAGATGTCTTTAGAACACTTCCATTAGGATTCTGAATTTTCCTAAGGATAACCTAAAATGTGCCAAGTCAGAACAAGGCCGGCTTTCTGCCTAAGGTCCAACCTTCCCAAGTCACAAAACGAGAGGAACCCAGCAATGTGTTTAAAGGGAAACATCATCTTTCAGGCGATGAGACCCAGGTTTTTTTGTTGGTTCAGAAAAGGGAAACAACTATCGATACAGACAAAGGGCATTCTGCTTTTCAAATCTTCCTACTTAACTGACCTTTCTTTAAAAGGACAGATTGGTGTTTTGATTCTGAATTCTGCCTGCCTGGACATGGTTACTCACAGCAAATGACACAGGAGTCCCCAGATACTTTCCAGGATGATTTGGTCTAACAGGTGCCTTGAAGTCACACACACCTGCATTACACATCTGGCCCTATGGGGTCTTGGCCTAATTATAAAAACCTCAGTAATCTCTGTTCTTCGTATGTCTAATATGGTCATAATTATATGAGGAAAACACACATAAAGTATGCATCCTACGTCTTCCAGAATTGCTTCTCAATAGAGATTTGTCCTTTCCTGCTCTTCCAGTCAATGGTAGTCCCTCTCGTCCATACTCCTGCCCCTCCATCTTTTGGGAATAATGATTTTGTATTATTCTGATCTATTGAGAAGTGTCTTTTTTTTCCTGAAAATGAACTGGCTTTTCTTCATTTGAAAATATGTATTTATGTATACCTGCCTTTTTGTAACAAACTATTAAAATAAAATTTCAACCAGGGATAGAGGAAGGAATGACCTGCTCCCCACAACAGGGCATAATGGTTACCGTGCCTGAACACACCACTTGGCCCTAGATCTTCTGACGGGGCCTCCAGGGCAATGTAAGATATACCAGCCTTGCTGGCAGGAGTGGTAGGCACGCATTTTGCCCAGCAACGAGTTCCAAGACAAGCCTGTCATGTCAGCACTTAGGGAATGCTGGTCAATGAAACAGACACTGTCCTCCACAAGAGGTTTCATGTTATCACTTCTTCAAATGATTTCCAGTGGTAGCCCTGGGCTCTTACCAAGGCCGTTCAATGCAAGTGATTCTGAAAGACCTTCATCTATGAAATACAAGAGAAGTAGGGGGCAGTTCTTAAGCCTATAGATTCTCATGAAGCAAACACTGGCTGATGTCATTTGGATCTGTGTCCTCACCAAATCTCATGTGGAATTGTAGTCCTCAGTGTTGGAGGAGGGTCCTGGTGGGAAGTGACTGGATCATGGGGGCGAAGTGCTCATGAATGGTTTAGCACCATCCGCCCCTTGGTACTGCGTAGTGATAGACTCCTTATGAGGTCTGGTTGTTTGAAAGTGTGTGGCACCTCCCCTCTCCCCCTCTGCCTCCTACTGTGGCCATGTGAAGCTCCTCACTCTCTCTTTGCCTTCTACTATGATTGGAAGTTTCCTGAGGTCTCCCCAGAAGCAGAAGCTGTGATGCTTCCTGTACAGCCTGCAGAACCATGAGCCAATTAAACCTCTTTTCTTTATAAATTAGCCAGTCTTAGGTATTTCTTTATAGCAATGCAAGAATGGACTAATACAGTGTCCCTAATACAGACAGCTTCTGGGGTTTTATCTGAAATCTCTCCTATAGAAGTCCAGACAACACAGAAGCGAGGCAATTTCCATGCCAAGGATTCTGTGACCAGAGCTTATACTTCGTGGTTGATAAGTATAAGCTCAGGAAGAGAGTGGAGTGATGCCGGTGTGTGGCCTCCAATGCCATTCTACCTCCTGTGTTTAGAAAGATATACTCTGGCCAGGCGCGGTGGCTCACGTCTTTAATCCCAGCACTTTGGGAGGTGAGGCAGGTGGATCACCTGAGGTCAGGAGTTCGAGACCACCCTGGCCAACATGGTGAAACCCTGTCTCTACTAAAAACACAAAAAATTAACCAGGCATGATGGCAGGTGCCTATAATCTCAGCTACTTGGGAGGCTGAGGCAGGAGAATTGCTTGAACCTGGGAGGCAGAGGTTGCAGGGAGCCGATCGTGCCATTGCACTCCAGCCTGGGTGACTGAGTGAGACTCTGTCTCAAAAAAATAACCCCCAACATCTATATTCTGAGGCACTACAATCTAAAATTAAGATTTTAGATCTATTAATCTAAAATCACAACATCATTAATGAATGTTTGATAATCTGCCAAGCATCAAAGTGCTATAGATGTATAATTTTATTTAAACCTTACGGCTGTTTGATAGAGGAACTAACATCATCCCCATTTGAAAGAAGAAGAAAGACAAACACAAAGACATTGAACAGATTGCCCAAGGCTACCCAGCTAGGGAGTAGGGAACAGGGGCTTCAACTCAGCTTATTATGCCTTTGGAGATATATTACCTCCCAATTCTAATGTGGTTAGAAGTCTCAGAAACCCAGAACTGTGAATGTCTACATCTGACTATTCCAGTAGCAGCAGAGTTGCACATGAGACAGGTAGAAGGACTGGCAAGCATCAACTCGGGGACCTTCTAGCCAAATGTGGCACAGTTGAGCCCTCTCTATTTGTTCCTTCACTTTTCAGTTCTGTGGAACTGTAAGTTTTTTCATATTTTCCCTTAAAAGGTTAACTACTTAAATTCACATTCACTCATCTGTGTCCTCCTCATTGTCAGACAAGTTTAAAGTGAGTATGGTCCTGGCGCCTACATTGGGAGCGCCTGCTCCTTAACCTACGATGGCATCAGGCAGGCGGTTGTCCAGCCCAGTCTGAGATCTCACGTAGAAGCGCATCTTTCTCGAAGGGATTAAAAATGTCATGTTCTCATTAATCTGTGTAAATCTAAATGGAATGTTTTGATGGGGTGATAGGAAACCAATTTCAGCACAGTCTGCTTTGAATCCCTATTTTTAAGCACAGAGCCACTCACCAGATTTCAAATCCATTTACCAAATACCAAAAAGTCTTCCTTTCTGCACTCGGAAGGATGATTTTTTTATTAAACACAGATGGTCATGCTCCCTAGGGAGCTCAACTCATAAATGTATAATCTAGATGCTAATAATTTTTTGTTCAGGAGGTGGTTCATTTTTAGAAAATTGGAAAAATTTATAGATGCGGGACTAACATTTTTCAAACAACAACAATAAAAAGCCTGTTAATTATTTCATCTAGAAACAGGATTATTCTGATAGAACCTACCCATTTCAACCCAGTCAGGGAAGTCTCATGACGCAGTAGACCAGAGGTTAAATTGGTGCTAGGAGCTACGTTGTGAAGGTTTTTAGCAGGGCAGCAGTAGAGACACTGGGTATCTATTTGCCATTTCCCATCCCCAAACTTCTGTGCCCTTTGCCCAATGTCAAGTAAGTAAAAATCTTACAAATCATCCTTATGGGGACAATATATTCTGAAGACTGATTTTTCCAAAGGCAATAAAGACATCAGCGCATACAATCGACTCTCTGACTAAATGAGCTCCTGGATCCCCTAATCCTGTCCTCCCACTTTACAGATGAGAACCTGGGGCCTTGAGAGGTCACATGTCTGTCCTAAAGACACCTAGGTGGTGAATTAAAGAATTGAGAAGCCTGGCACCAAGTCCACTCACTCTGGCTCACTGCTTTTTTCCTACACAATCTTGCAGAATAGTAGCTGCCTTTGTTTGTTGTTTCTTGTTGCTACATTCATAATTGTCTCTCTTCCTCATGATAACCTTAGGAGACAGGCATTGCTATTCCCATTTTAGAAGGGGAAGGTGCCCAAGGTCACACCGCTGGATAGGTGTAGAGGCAAGACCACACCCTCATTGTCCGGCTCCAGGGCTCTGTCCTTGCCACTGAGCCCTGCGGTCTTCTTGGAACACCGTTTACTCTGACATGATGCCTGATGCAAGGAATGCAAACAGAGGAGGGCATAAACTCATCCTTCAGTGGTTGAATGGGAAGGAGGAGTTCCCTCTTCCACTGCCCTCACTAATAGGAGGCTTTCTCTGTAACTCAGCCCTTATTATTCTGCCCATTGTCCTCTCCCGAGGCTCAGCTTGAAATTCACTCTAACAGTTTCTCATCCTCTGCGAAGAACCTGCATTTTCATTCCTCCAGGAAGTTCTGTCTTTGGAAGTTCCTCAGTGTGATATTTAATGGTGACACATGAAATACTGCCAATTTACTGAATATTCAGCACAGGGCAGTTAAAGTGAATGGCTGGGGGATGGGTTCAACTGACAAACACAAAATGATTTTGTCATTAGTGGGTGAGCTCTGTGGCTGAGTGGGGCATCCAGCAGGTTTCAAAATATCTGCCAAAGTTTCTCCTGGGCCATAACTTGTGTCCTTAGCATAGTTGCTAATGCCTGTGGCTTGCTCCTGCCTCTTATTCAATCTCCTTGCCTCTTCGCAATCTTATTTTTCAGTTTTATGTTCTGGCTGTTTGCTTCTATGAGAGTATGGCATGAAGATGGCTGTGCAATCAGCAGCATGTCAAGAGAGCAAGCAAACAGTCAAGGATGCTTTACTTGTCCAGGAAAGAAACAGCTAGACACGTTTCCCACCTGTTGGGCCTGGTCTTTTGACATCCACTTGGATTTGACATTTTGAAGTTAGAATTTACAGAAACAATTCAGAAATCTGCCTTGAGAAATTATGTAAGTGATTCTACCCTATCTTAGCTCACTGTTACCTATATCCCCGTATAAAATAATTCTGTCCTAGAAGAGAAGCAGTGTGGGGGATTTGACCATAGGGTCATCCAAGTTGAAAACTCAAACCCAACAGTGAGTGCCAGCTCTCCTGTGGCAAGGAGAGCCATTAAAAGGAAGAGCCCTGGAGCTGTGGGGTTTGAATCTTGTTCTTCTGTGACTTTGGGCCAGTTTCTCAGCCCTTCAGTCCCTCCATCTCCTAATCTGTAAACTGGGCATAATCCTAGTAGCTAATTCCTAGGGTTATGGTGAGGATAAAATGCATTATAAAGTAATGTTTTTGAGAAACACCTGGCACATGGTAGGCTCATATACATGTCCACCCTTGCTGATACCACCACTAGCAGATTTGTGGCACTAAATGGCAAAGAATGGCTCTTCATTTCTGTGGCTCTTCTGGTAACTGTAGACTTTGATTCTCTCTGGGTGTGCATGAAAACCAGAAACAACCTCGACTGCTATTCCTGTCCCGAGTACAATGCTGCATGGCCTACCCTTAAACCAACACCGTGCCCTTGTGATTCTCCAGGTAGCAGGCCACTGTTTACCCCACCCACCTTTGGAGTGTCCCCAGAAACAATACCTTGCCTCCGCCGGGCGTTGAGTTTCCTAAAGCAGGTCCCTTCCACAAGGCGGTTCAGGCGTTGCTGTTTGATCAGCTCTAAGATTTCTGGCTGAATCTTCTCCTTTAGTTCTCTGTGAGAGGAAAAACACATATATTCCACAGCATGCCTTGAGAAGCAGAGCTTGGCTTGATGGGCATCATGGGCAGGTGGGCAGGGGAGAACAAGTGCATCTTTTCATGAGCTTCCAATACCTCCAAATTGGCACTTTAGAGGTGTTTAAGAGTCAGTGGCCAGGGGCATAAGTACAACAACACAATAGATTCTGTGACACTTACAGAATTCCACAAAAGCACCAGCCACTTCAGTGATGTTTTTCCAGAAGAAAGTGTCCTGAAAAATTTCTTCTTTTATTTTACAAAGCCGTAGATATAAATTTATGCAAAAATCCACTCAGTGCTACTAAGGCAAAAAATCCTTGGCTAACTTTTTTCCCCCTACACCAGGTAAACTCTGAGTGTATTTGTGTTCTGATTAATAAACAGGGATATTAGGCAACCACATGATGACTATGCCACATCAAACACTGTATAGTGAGCAAACCACAGGACCACCTTTGCTTCCAATTCCATCATTCACAAATGGGGACAACAACAGTGTCCCAGATTCTAGCCCACAGAGACTAAGATAATGATGGGATAAATGAAAAATTATTTGCATCTTGTCTCAGGCTAATGCGATATAATTTAGTTTGAGATGCACTATGCTGCAAAGATATCATGATAGAGTGGAATGGTTTTCAAATCTGTTTTTTTAGAGCAGAGCTTTTCATCATAGGAAATTTTATGTAGCTCTCTAGCATTTGAGTCTAGTAAAGCCAGAACTGTTCTAGCTGAAGCTGGACAGGGAGACCCAGAGCCCATTCCTTGTAACAGTGTAACAGGTATTGGCCAGAGCCTAGATCTAGAAGTCAGAAGACGGGAGTTTCAGTCTAGGCTCTGCCCGTGACTAGTATTTCAGGTAGCTCATCTAAGTGTCAGTTTCTTCATTTATAAAATGAGAATAAGAATCTTTCCTGCTGTGACTCCCACATGAGACAGAGTACAAGTCTCTATTAAGCACTGAGCAGGAATACAAGGCACGACTGAATTTGCTTTGGTGACATTCCCTCCTTTCCTCAAGCCAAACAGTCCATAGGCCCATATTACCCTGTAGTCAGGCCTCATACACTCAACAGCTGCCACCTGAACTCTGGATTTGCGCTGACACTGAACTGCAGGCAGCTTGTTCTCACATGGTGCTCCACTCTGAGGAGAGAAAGGTACTCCTGCTTGGTGAGCACTTGCTATGAGCCGGGTAGTGCAATATGCAGTTTTAACTCACTTAATCTTCCTTCCCTCCTTGCTCAAAATAACAGCTTTTGGGGTAGGTGTTAATATCATCATTCCCAACTTACAGAAGGGGAAACAACTCATGGAGGTTACATGTAGAATATGGGCATAGACTCAGGCCTTCCTTGCTCAAGCTGCTTTGATTTACTCATGAGAAAAGAGAAAAAAGTTACGTAAAAGGATGAGGCCATCTAACAGGGTATTCTAGTACTCCATTAATACATTTTTTTTTCAAGGCTTAAGTGCCCTCAAACATTCTTTCATTTGATATTGTTCCAACTGAACATCTATAAAGCATAATATGGAAATTCAGCCCTAACAACAATTTGGGACATTTGTAAAGCCTTCTCTGTGCAGGTCTCTTAGGGTCTCATTTCAGGCTTTCAGATCACTAAAACTATTATTGGCACTCAGCTCTTCTAAAATGGACTCAGTAAATTGCAGCTTTGATGAAATCTGCACTGAGTGAAAAAGAAAGTGGGTAACTGCTAGGGAGTTGCACACAGCAATAAATCACTGCTCCCAACTTCTAAGTCCAGGTAACCAGGCAGAGACAAAGGCATGGTACCAAAGGATGGAGAAAATCTGAAGAAAGAGTTTTAAAATTTCATCGATTAGTAGGACACACACACACACACACACACACACACACACACACACACACACACA